ACCTCACCTGGGAAAGAAAGGACGTGGCTTGAATCAGTTGTTTGCAACCTTGTCTCTCCCCCATAAAACTTCTCCATCCAAAGAAATCTTACTCAGAAAACTGTCTCAGACCTGCCTATGGGAGGATTCCCTCGCTGGCCAGAAAGTATAGGACCAATGCCCGCTGGAGATTGTACCATTTGTTTCTCCCTCTCACCCATGCCCAGATACCCATAGGGTGCCCAACCTCTGCCCTATGGGGATCCTTACAGTCCCAGCAGCCCAGAAACCCCCATCCAGGTGCCAGGGTCAGAGGTGCAGGAATGTGTCACAGACACCTGGTGACGTGGCCGAGACAATGGCCAGGTTGCCTCTGCTATGAGGCAGTGTGGGCTCTTACATCATTATGCGTTCCCCAGGACAGAAATGAGGGGCTGGGGCTGACCCCCAGATACAATTGTCGTGTTTACTTCCTGGGTCAGCCATAACAAAGTACCACAAGCTGGGGGTGCTTAAATGACAGGAAGGTACTCTCCCAGGTGGGGGTCCAGCATCTAGGTGTGGGCAGGGCTGTCCCTCCTGAGGCTTCCAGGGAGAATCAGCTCCCGGCCCTCCCAGCTTCTGGTGGTTGCTGGTGATCAAAAAGCCTCACTGGGGTCCCTCAGGGGTGGAAGGTGCTGCTCAACAGATAGCAGGACCTGCCTCCCATGGTTCCCCTACTCTCCCCAGGAGGAAGAGGGGTCACGAAAGTGGGCTCCCATGAGTGGCCCCCCAAGTGCCAAGCCTTGGGCGCCATGCTTGTGCAGGACAGTGCATTTCCTCTTGTTGATCTATGAGGGAAGGATGACACGCCCAATTTACAAACTGAGGTCCCAAGAAGCCAAGAAATTTTACTCAAAGTCCCACAGTTAGGCAGAATTGCTCTAAGCTTATTTGACTTCCAAGTCCTTGTTCTTCCTACAGGAACGTACTCTCTCAGCTGGAGGTCCAGCATCAAGGTGTGGGCAGGGCTGGTCCCTCCTGAGGCTTGGAGGGAGCACCAGCTCCTGGCCCCCCCAGCTTCTGGTGGTTGCTGGCAATCTCTGGTGTCCGTTGTCTTGTAGAGGCATCCTTCTGGCTCTGCCATCATCTTCACACGGTTTTCTCCGTATGTGTGCATGTGTGTACGTCTGTGTCTATATCCAGATTTCTTCTTTTTCCTAAGGACACCAGTCATAATTGATTAGGGGCCTACTCTACTGAGCATGATCTCATCTTAATTAACTATATCTGCAATTACCCTATCCTTAAATCAGGTCACATATGGAGATTCTAGGAATTAGGACTTTAACATGGATTTGGGGGGGACACGATTCAATCCGTAACGATTCTTGTGTGTGTGTGTGTGTGTGTGTGTGTGACAGAGTCTCACTCTAGGCTGGAGTGCAGTGGTGTGATCTCGGCTCACTGCAACCTCCGCCTCCTGGGTTCAAGCAATTCTCCTGCCTCAGCCTCCCTAGTAGCTGGGATTACCGGCATGCGCCACCACGCCCGGCTAATTTTGGTATTTTTAGTAGAGATGGGGTTTCACTATGTCGGCCAGGATGGTCTCCATCTCTAGACCTTGTAATCCACCCGCCTAAGCCTCCCAAAGTGCTGGGATTACAGGCGTGAGCCACCGCACCCGGCCCACAACAATTCTTAATCAACAGGTAAGGCACGTGTAAGTGAGGCATGAGTCTCAACTTCGTTATCTCATTCGAGGAACGAAGGAGCTGGGCTGCTGCTTCTCTTCTTTCATATGTGTTGCAAAGCAAGAAGCTTCATTTCCAACTAAAGCAGGACTCCCACCATCTCTCCTGGCTGGGAATGGAGCATCCAGACTTTTGCTAGAGCTGATCTGAGAATAAAAGTGATACTCCTGGACTATGAACTCCACCCCTTTCCCAGGAGAAAGCAAAATGGTGTGTTGAGTGGAGTGTCAGGGGCTCTTCAAGCCTTCAGGGGAATTTGGCCATGCCTTTCTCTTTAGAAGCCCAATGTTGGAAACTGGTAGAAGGGGTGTTCCCTGGGGGAAAGGAGTGAGCACCTGAGCACCGCACTGTGCCTTGTAAACCTCTGCAGGCTCCTGGAGCACACAAGGTGCCATTGCCTCCAAGAGCATGTGCATGCCTTGGGGAAAGCACTTCTAAGCACCCATCACATAGAATACGGCCACCTGCCCCTGGAAGCTCAAAGGGCCTCACTGGGTTCCCTCAGGGGTAGAAGGTGATGCTCAACAGATAGCAGGACCTGCCTCCCAGGGCTCCCCCACACCCCCCAGTAGGAAGAGGGGTCATGAAAGTGGGCTCCCATGGATGGCCCCCCAAGTGCCAAGCCCTGGGTGCCATGCCTATGCGGGACAGTGTATTTCCTCTTGTTTATCTGTGAGGGAAGGATGACATGCCCAGTTTACAGAAGAGGAAACTGAGGTCCCAAGAAGCCAAGAAATTTTGCTCAAAGTCCGAAAGCCAGACAGGATTGCTCTAAGCCTTATTTGACTTCCAAGTCCTTGTTCTTCCTATAGCGCTAACCTACCATGTATAATATGATGCTGAATGCATTTCCTCCTCCAGAGGTTGATCAAAACTAAATCAGGAAATCAGTGGTGCCTACAGAAACCGGTGTTTACGATTCACATCTTTCAAGGCAAGAATGGGAAGCAAATGCTTCTGGGGGATCGTGATGACATGGAGGTGAATTCCTCCACCAACTGTGATTGTGGAGTTACTGCATGGTGAGATAAGTAAGGGAGGGCATCTGAGTTAAAAATAAACATTAAAAAATGCTCCCGAACACAGTTTGGAGATTGAAGGCATACAGGAAACTGGGACGCTGATCAAGCCCCAGTGGGACAGACTATTCCGAAGGAAGCCCCGAGGAGAAGCATGACTCCACCTGCCCCCTTCTGCCGGAGGAGTAGAGGCACCCTGGCAGCTTCACTCGTCCAGGCTGGATGGAGACATCAATGTTTCCTGCACCAAAGCATTCAGAGCTAGGTTAGCAAAGTACAGACAAGAAGAAAGGACAGCAGTCACAAAACTGATCTTTCTAGCTCTTCCTTAGATCTCAAAGTGAGCTCGGTAGCAACTGGGGTAAAGTACGCACTCCTACTTCAGCAAGGACGAATCATAAGATGACCCCATCCCATCACCGAGTCCCCTCATTTTCCGCTTTTCTCTCACTGGCTCCCCAATCCCAAGTGTACCTCTGCTTCAACATCCACCCCTCCTCGCTTCTGCCTTTAGCTCCTACCCGAGTGGATCCTGTCGGGCCTGTGAACCCCTCAGCCACAGGTGCTGTTTCCCCAGCGCCCTCCATGGGTTCCTGGGCTTTCCAGGGCTCCTCATGCCCTAAGCCTACTGAGGACAAGCCTCCAGGAGCTCACTGCAGACAGTGCTCCAGGCACTCCGGGTAGACAAGGTATTGTGGTCTCTGTCCAGTACCACAGGTCATGAGGCTGAGACAGTTTCACCACGTTCAAGGACAGGCACTGATGATTTGCTCCGGTTACCCTGTGAGATTTAAATGACAGAATCATGTGGCTACTCTCATTCTTTCCCTTCCCCTTCCCCTTCCCTTTCCTTCCCTTTCCTTTCCTTTCCTTTCCAAGACAGGGGTTTGCTCTGTCACCCAGGCTGGAGTGCAGCAGTGCCATCTTGACTCATTGAAGCCTCAATCTCCTAGGCTCAGGTGATCCTCCCACCACAGCCTCCCAAGTAGCTGGGATTATAGGTGTGTACCACCACGCCTGGCTACTTTTTTGTATTTTTCATAGAGCCAGGGTCTCACTATGTTGTCCAGGCTGGTCTCGAACTCCTGAACTCAAGCAATCCACCCACCTCAGGCTCACAAATTGCTGAGATTACAGGCATGAGCCACTGCTGATTTTTTTGTTTTCTTTTCTTTCTTTCTTTCTTTTTTTTTTTTTTTTTGAGTCTCACTGTGTTGCCCAGGCTGAGTGCATTGGTGTAATCATGGCTCACTGTAGCCTTGACCTCCGGGGCTCAGGTGACCCTCCTGCCTCAGCCTTCTGAGTAGATGGGATTACAGGCATGTGCCACCATGCCTGGCTTTATTATTATTATTATTATTTATATAGATCTTGAACTCCTGGACTCAAGCAAACTACCTACCTCAGCCTCCCAAAGTGCTGGTATTACAGGTGTGAACCACCGTGCCCAGCCCCCATCCTCATTTATTCTGCAAATATGAGAAATTGTCCAGGAAGCCCTCCCTGCCTACTCATGAGGTGAGGCCAGATTCTGCCACCTGCAAGACCCACTCAGCTCTGTGCACAGCGCCACACCAGGCACACTGGAGCTGCCCAAGACTGTGGTCAGCCTATCTGCTTCCATGGAAGCAATCGGAGAGAAGAGTGAGAAATGAAAGTCAAAAAGTTGTGTGGTGAGGTGGGGTGGGGGATCCTTTCCTGCAGGACGTGAGAAAACTGGATGGTGAATGGCACCGTTTGAGGAGGACCATATGTAGGCACTTGTCTTTTTGTATCTATGTAAAAAAAAACCGTAATTTTAAGAAAGAAATTGAGGTGTATCATTTTAAAAGTCAGAAACTTTCATCAAACTCTACCTCTGCTATCTACCAGGTATTTGCAACTCTGAACAAATTATTTCACTTATATAAACCTTTATTTCCTCCACCCATAAACTTGAGATAATAAGTCGTGTTTCCCTCACCTCAAAAGATTGCTGGATGAGCCTATTATATTGGGAATTAAATGTAGGTTTGGTTTTTTCTGGCAAAGTATAAAGCACTATAAAAATGCAGGGTATTTATTCTTGCCCTATGGTAAAGAGAAAATTAGAGTAATTAGTGCTATTATACTCATATTCTACTCCTAGCTTTTGTGAAAGATTTAGTGTAGATTATATAAACTCTTAAAAAGCTTTATTGTATATTGATCAACAAAAAAGTCTGTTTAAAATATGTGATTCCTGAGAAAGTAATATGTTTATTAAAACCAAATAAATGCATCCATTTATAAATGTAAAATACATTTTTACATAAATGTGTAAAAGCATCCAAAGTCTACCATTTTCAAGGGACTATTGCAAGGATCCAAGGGCATCGTGAGGCTGGAAGCCTCCTTGCACTCTGAAAAGCAATTCACGTATTAGCTGTGGCTGCTATTATGATTAGTGCAAGCTGCAGGCAGCAGCATGGCCAGCCCTGAGTCCACCAGAGGGAGATGAATCACACCACCAGAGGCTCAGGGGAGAGATAGGCTGTGAGGGGACAGCGGGACAATTGCCGTGGAAGGGAGGACGATGGCAGAGAAGGGAGCAGATGGGCATGGGGTTGGGGGAGCCACAGGGACAGAGAGCATGGAGGGACCCCAGCAGAGAGTGGCAGAGTGGTACTCAGAGAGACCCTCACCGCCCCTGGTAGATACTGTTTCCCTCCCTCAAAAGACAAGGAGCACCCAAGCAGGGAAGGCGAGCCCCCAGGAGCACCCAGCCAAGCACTAGTCGGGAACTGGAACCAGCTGCTGAGGCTCCCGCTCTAGGGGCACTGACAAGCCATGAGGCTGTACATCGTAGGTATTTACCCACCTCACTTCCTGGTCTTCAAGACTGCAGCTGCCAAAACCTTGTCATCGTGCTATGAGTGTTTCCAAGGGATTCAGCTCTACTAGTTTAATGCAAAGACAGTGTCACATTTATATCCTGGAACCCATCCAGATGCTCCGGAGGCCAGAACACCCCGCCAGGAGAGGATAATGAAGCAGGTGACACCTACGAGGGTTGCAGGCCCAGCTGACAACCCCCCACCCCCAGCCTGAGTTGGCAATTTTTGGACATATTCCTCAGTTTGGGGGCAGAAGAGGCCGCTAGGGGCCCCCTGAGGTGCTGTTGTCTTCTGAAAGCTCCCTCGTTCTGGTTGTGCTGAGCAGGGAGGTCAAAGCCTCTAACTCCAAAAAGTCAGCAGATCATTAGTCTAATTAGCATAATAAAGCTGGCATTTTCACATGGCTCTGAGCCCAGAGTTAAAGTAGCCTACAGTTGTGCAAGGTGTGGACTGCACAATCCAAGGGTTCTCATTCCCATGGACTTGCTAGACATGGTACCCCCCACGGGCTGTTTAGTGTCCAACTTATTTAACCCTAAGCAGGATCTGGAAGTTAGGGACCTACAGGCTACGGTGGTGTAGGGAGGAAAATGGGCATACCTGCTGGTGAAGACTGCGGGAGGTCAGTGTTTAGGGAGGAAAGAAAATCAACAGGAACCATTGAATACGGGTTTATTACACTTTGTTCTCCAGGATTTTCATTCCTTGGCCACTTGCTTCCGGGAATTTATTCCCTTGTCTGAAAACACCATATCTCCGTTGTTCCTTGAAAACAAAGAACAGAAACATAAGAGAAATCCTTTCATTACCTGGTACAGGGCTACCCATGGACACAACAAGGGGCTTGTAGGAGCAAACAATGGGGGATTCATTGACCCCACTGAAAGAAATGTGCACAAGCAGGCGAACCAACTCACATCTTTTTCTGTTTGTTTGTTTGTTTTGCTTTTGCAATATTCTAGCCAGGAAAAAAGCAAGTTTGATTCACAGGAGGAAAAAGCAGTTGGAGACTTAACTTATGCAAACTGATGTGATATTTGCACCAATATTCTAAAAAGGAGCCCCGTGCATGCTGACCCCTGCCCACACAAGAAAGGAGGCCTAGAAAAAGTGACCATTCGCCATGAAACGGGCAAGGAGAGTTTCTAAGATGATACCTGGTTACAAACCAGCCCAAGCTTCACCTCAACGTTCTTTTCAACGGTTTCCACCGTTCTGAAGGTGGATGGCAGACAAAACCCTGGCCAGTCTCTGCAGCCATGTAGACAAAAACTACAGGCTCAAGCAAAAGGGCTGGTGCTCAGTGAGAACTGCCCAACTCTCCCCAGCTCTCCCAAACCCCCTTTGTCCATTAAGCAATTGGGAAGTGGAGAAAAATATTTGCAGACACAATGTGGTCTGAGGTTGATACATTCTTATCTAGGGTAGATTCATCTTGGATAAACAGACACTGTTCATTTTCCTCAGACACAAGGCATTTCATGCAGCTTCAATGACAGAGCTGCTGCTGCTCCAAGTGGGGGTACGTGGAGAGGGACATGCAGAACAGTCACGTCTCCCCTTCTGCAAGCTAACTGGTGCTGCTTCTCAGAAAGGTTACCATCCCTGGGAGACACTGCAGCGTCCCCTGTGAAAAGCAACCTCACTCTCCCAACATGACTCCAAATGCTCAAAGACCGTGTGGGTGGATCAGGGCAGCCCCTCCCTGCCGCTGCTGCAGAGCGGAAGGAGCTTCTCCTTCATTCTAAGATTCAACAACTACTCATTGAGCATTTAACCAGTTTCTGCCAGTAGCCAGTTGTGCCTCAGTTTCCTCATCTGTAAGGGGTGACAGTTGTTAGATCTGCCTTGCATGATGTTGCAAAGATTCAATGAACTGATACTGTAGCTGCTTAGAGGAAGCCCAGTCAACATGGGGCTGTCACGGAGATTCAGTGAGCTGATACTGTAGCTGCTTAGAGGAAGCCCCACTCAACATGGGGCTGTGGTGAAGATTCAATGAACTGATACTCTAACTGCTTAGAAGAAGCCAGGTAAACGTGGGGCTGTCATAGAGATTCAATGAGCTGATACTGTAGCTGCTTAGAAGAAGCCTGGTCAACATGGGGCTGTCATGGAGATTCAATGAGCTGATACTGTAGCTGCTTAGAGGAAGTCCGGCTCAACATGGGGCGCAGGCACTGTCAGCCTCTATGACCACCTGCGGCGTCCAAAGGCCCTTGTGCCACAAGGTCAGAGCATGGGATGTCATGGGACAGAATTCCAAGGATTAATCCGTGAGTCTCCATTGCCCTCCATATGCTTTCCTTCATGGCATCCCAGTGGCTCCTCTTAGGAGGAAATGAGAAGCAAAGGCTACAGGTGCTCACATCGAGTGTTCTTGGAAAAGCTGTCGACCTGAGCGCCAGGGAGATAATTCCAGATGTGGGCACCACTGGGATTGGTTTTCTCCTCCCTCCTGGTGGGGATGGAGAGCACAGGAGGCAGGTGGGGTGGTGGGATGAGGACCAGGAGGACAGGGAGTGTCTGAGAAAAACCTGCCAGGGTTGAAGAGCCCTCCCTCAGTCAAGTAGTCTTGGCGAAACTGAGTCAGTGTCCAGGGGTTCTGCTTCTGGCTGGCTTCACGGGACCACCAGCCAAAAGCAGCCAGCCATAGTCTGTGTCTCAGAAAATGTCCAATGGCACTGGACGGTCACCCGCCCTCTAGAGCACAGGTCGGGGCTGGGGAAGTTGACGAGCAGACTGGGACAGCCGGCGACCAGTCATACGCCTCAGGGGTAGCAGCGTGACACAGCACCTGTCCTGGAGGTGCTTGGGACAGGACCAAGTGAAAGCCTGCGTGAGCACAGTGGGGCTGGTGTGAGAGCAGATGTAATGCGGTTTATGGCTAATGAGCCATCAAGAGATACTGATGTGTATGGGTGTGCTGTGTATGTGTCTGTATATGATAGTATGTGATGTGTTTGTGTGGTATGTAGTGTGTATTGTGTGTGTAGCATTGCATGTGCAATGTGTGTGCCATGTGTGGTGTGCAAAGTGTGTGCCATATGTGTGGTGTGTGTGATGTGTATGTGGTGTGTGGCATGTATGTCCTGTGTGCTGTTTGCATGTGTGATGTGTAGTATGTAGTGTTGCATGGTGAGGGAGTATATATGATGTGTGTGTGGTGTGCGATGTGTGTCTGAGTGTGTGATGTGTGGTGTGTAGTGTGGTGTGGT